CATGTGCCTATCTCCCCACCGGTGCCTAGCTACCTCAGCACCTTTTACATGCTGGATACTTAGCTGATGCCCACAGCTTGGATGGACACATTAACTGCACAGATATAACTGGGGCTGCAAACCTTCATAAATGCCAAGCTCCTCTGACGGCCCCCCATTCTGCCTCCCAGTTTGTGCACATTACTCCGTTCCACAAAGTATCGCATTCCCTTCCAAAGCCACCTTCAGATAGTGGAAGAAAGATGGGTGTGGAGTCTAACAGGCCCAGTGTCAGATCCTTGTCCCACCACATACTGGTCATGTGACCTTAGGGAAGTAATGTAACCTCTCTGAGCCTCAGTTTTTTGCCTGTAAAATGGGGTAAACATAGGTACCTATATGGGGTTTCAGTGACGATTAATTGAGGTACTACCTGTAAAGTGCTAGTACTTGGCATAGTGCCTGGTACTTGGTAAGCATGCAGTGAGTGGTGGCTCATCAACACGAGTGGGGGGGGGGTGAATCCTTCCATGTTTAACCCCACCTATCTCCATCCACACCGAACCATTCCAGTACATCAAGTGCACACAGCAGTCAATACCCAGAAACTTTGCTGCCTATGCGTATGGTTTTGCTCTCGTCTGTGGCTTTGCTGTTTAACTGATAGCTACAGTTCTTATTAAGATTCCTAGCATACCAAATTTCTCCCTGTCAAGCCCAAAGGGTAAATTATACTTACTTTAATTTTATCCTCAGGACTAATTATTCATTGGTATAGCAACCTTTTAATGAGTTAACAGTCTCTGGAGGAGATACCAGCCACCCACTAACACCACAAACCAAGGCCATCAGGTGTGAACAAACTGTCAGTCCATTCGTCTATGCCCACTGGTGAGATGTACCTGGAGGGCAGGTTACATGACTAACTGGCATGCAGGTTACCCAGCACAGTCCATGATGACATCAGGACACACCCGTAGGCATCAGGACAGGCACAGGCTGCTGACACACTGGCTGTTGACCCACATGCCTGCAAAAGGACATCAGAGCGGGCAGAGCCTGGGAGCAGACAAGGCTGCTGTCCAGACTGAGATCAAGAACCACCCGGGGCCGCTTCAGACGGCACAGACATGATCCTTGAGCAGGGCTGGCCTGGACCAGAAACAAGGATGGTCCTTAATTCCAGGTCGCTGAGGCTTCCCCAAACCCTGAGCTGGAATGTCACCATCTATCTCCTCCATGCCTGTGTCTGAGGAGGCCAGAGGCGGGTGTGACTTTGCAGACTAAAGCCAGAGGAGGGAGCAGTGTAAGAGCTGCCACAGAGCCCAATCCCTGATGCTCTGGGGAGCCAGGAAGACTAGGAAGGGAGGGCAAGGGAGGACCTGCTTATTAGGGGGCAGGCTCACACCCAGAGCACTGTAGTACCCAGCCACCAGATGGACACTGCAGGCCTCACCAACATGAGCCAGAAAGGGAGGCACAGCTAGCGCCAGGGCCTCCCACCTCCCCTCCCCCACCTCCCTGGAGGCTCATGGGGGCTTTCGGGACAGAAAACAAAGAACGCCCAGGAAACAGGATGGGCAACGTGAAGCAACTAAAGGGAGCAAAGGGGGGAAACATGGCCTCATTCCCCAAACTCTGGAAACTGGAAGGAGTCCCAGAGGCCAACCTCAGGGTGGGCCAGAGGGGAGCTTGGCTGGGAGCAGACACAGGGTAAGGAATGGCTTTGAGGCTGGGCCCGTCCCTGATGTGTCTGGGAGGAACTGCGAGTCTGAGGAGTAGAGAAAGGCTGTCAGGTCATGCCACCCAGGCTCCTTGTTGCCCATGGCCAGAGAAAAATACTGTATTGGCAATGAGGAGATGGAGGACTGCCCTCCCAGCAGGCAGCGCAGACGCCTGAAGATGGACCCTGCCTACCCAGGCACTGCACCATCTCGCATCTCTCCAGGGCCCTGCACAAGGACATGGGGCCAAGGTGCTGCATCTTCTGGCTCACTTGCTGTCCCTTCTTGTAGCTGTGGAGCACATTTCCCTGTCGCTTCCTCTGGGGAGCTTGCTCTCTCTGTGTTCACAACAGGCTTCCTCATCTGGACTCAGTGCCTCCTTCTCTCCAGCCCCTTCTCATCCCTCAACTCTCCAGAGAGAAATCTCTTCCAGACACCTCTCATCTGGGCAGGTTCCATCTTGCTACGCTTTCCCACGGGATCACCTGTTTTCACTGTCATTGCCTAGATTCTGGGAAGTCCACGAGGCAAGACTCTCCTCCAGCTTCTTCCCTGCTCTCTCCCTGAGGCCCTAGCACCAAGCTTGGCCTATAGGCGCTCCATAAATACATCCTGGAATGAATTGCACCGGAGAGGGCGGATGGCCAAGCCACCTGCCTCAGGAACACCCAGCCAATCATGAGTGTGTCAGGTCAACAACACAGAGCTGCTGAGCACGGGCTTTGTGCCTAAAGGTGTTAGAAAAAGGCAGGGGCAGTAATGCACAGAGTTACAAAAGGACAGAAGAGGAGACACCAGCAGAGGAGGGACAGCAACATGTTTCTGGATGGAAATGAGGAGAGTTTTAGTAACTGATCCAACAGAGAGGAGGAAGCCACCCCCCAAATGTATGAAGAAGTCATGCTTAAGGAGAGATCCCATCACCCCCAGATACCAACAAAGCTCAGGACTTGGAGGCACCGGTTAACATATGAAAATAGGGCTAGACACAGGAGTTGGTTGAAAGCCTGTCCTCAAAGCTATACGACCCTCCATGCCTTCCCCCCACAACAAAGTGACTCTTACCACCCTCAACAGTGTCCCCACCAGATGCTGGAATTTTAACAAACTCCTGGAGAAACTGAACCCATGTGACTCCAGACTTCGGAACACTAGCACAGTGGAATGTGTAGTAGGCGAGGCTAAAAGCAGGAAAATTAATGAAAGTCTGCAAAGTGGATTTTGGAACCCCAGCCTCCTTCCGTTTCTTCGCTTCTAGAATGCAGAGAGATAAGATGATACTGTATTCACAAAAAGAGAAGAGGGTTCTATCAAAAAGAATAAAGAAAAGGAGCAATCAAAGAGCTCTCAGAAATTAAAATTATACTAGCTGAAGTTAAACATTCAATAGACATGTTGAAAATAAACTGAAGTACATTTGACATGTTGAAAATAAACTCAAGGAAATTTTCTGCAAAGCCAAACAGAAGGACAAAGTGATGGAATAGAAGAGAGAGAAAAAAAAAAGATAAGGCAATTTGAGTCTCAATCTAAGATGTCGAATATTTGACTAACAGGAATTCCAGAACGAGAAGAAATTATCAAATAAATAGTATAAGACAATTTGCCAGAACTGAGAGACACAAGTATTTAGATGGAAAGGAGTTATCAGGAACCCAAAATAATGAATTTCAAAAGAGATGGCACTGTGGAATTTCAGAAATAAATTTCACAGATAAAGAGAAGATGCTAAATATTCTCAAAGAAAGAAACAGATCACTTGCAAAGAATCAGGGATAAAATAGCATTAGATTTTTCAATAGTTATATTGGAAGCCAGAAGACAGTAAAATAAATGTCTTCAAAATTCTGAAAGAAAATTATTGCCATACTAGGATTCTCTCCCCTGCCAAACTGTCAATTAAAGCTGAGTGCAGAACTACAATTTTTCAGACATAAAAGTTTTCAAAAATTTCTTCCGGTTTATTCTTTTTCTCAGGAAGCTACTGAAAGAGGAGTTCCGCCAAAATGAAAATGTACAGAAAGAGGAAGGCCTGGAGCTGGACGGACATGGGCTCCAGAAAGGAAATTTCCAGGGGAAAAACATGGAACTGAAGAACACAAGTCTTCAGACTGAAAGGAGGCACTGAAAATATCACTAGAGGGTACGGCAAGAATTAGAGATGGAACAAAGAAAACTATGCCAATGAGGGGAAAACAGAGGCAATCATTAACTACAAATAAAATATAAAGTAAAAAAGGGAAACATAATCATGATACAGCCAACTTGACTCTACAGTAAATGTTATTTATAGAATTATAATGTGAATACTGAATATCCATAGACGCCAAAACTGTGATAATTATCTTGGGAGGGTGATGAAGGTTGGGGAGAGGAGTGTGTTTATGGGGGTGGATAATAAGAGAGCTGAATCCTTAAGTGCCATATTAGATAATACAAAAAACTAGTTGAGAAGTAGCAGTATAGATAAGCATATTAGTTTAAAATATAGATTTCTATCTGAAGAAACAGCTAAAAGTATTTGCTTCTGGGGAACAGGAATGAGAATTGAGGAGGAATGATGGGGCAGCCTACTATTTTTCCTTACAAGTGTTTTAGTACTATTTGGTTTTTTAAGCTATTCACACACCTTACTTTGAAAAAATGTGAAATTAATTTTTTAAAAGTTTTAAAAATTTATGAACAACAAAAACACTTTGACACATTAACCATCTTTAGTCTCTGTAATCATTAAAGTCACCCTATTCTACATCCCCCTACCCTTTGCCCAAACCAGACACAACCATCAATATTTCAGTTAGCTCTAGTGTAAGTTTCTATATGATATTAAAAATGAAATTAAGTGTCCTAGCCTAATCCTCACCATCCTCCCCCATCTTTCTCACCCCCAACCTCAACTTTTGGATAGTAGTATCCTGGTAAATGTTTAATAATCAATTCTTTGGGGGAAAAGAGTCTTAATTTGTGGCATTTGCCCATTTCCAAGGTGTAAATACTCCAAATGAGGCTGGTTTCAGGATATCACTGTGATGTGATATCACTGGAATTGGGAAGAGATACATGTCAGCTCCAGCCAACTACTGCCTTTGGGCCTCTCTAGCCTCATCAGCCTCCATGCTTCTAACCACACCCAGGGTACAGGAAAGACCTAAGTATCCCCCTCAAATAGCCAGAAGTCCACAGGGGTCCGTAGCCACAGGAGAAGTGGATACTAAAGGGAAAAGTAGTGGTTCTGGCTGCAGGGACGAGGTTATGAATTTGCTACCTTCCTTCCTTCCCTCCCTCCAGCAGAGTTACCTGTTCATTGGTGACTCCTGGGTGTAGGGTCCCATGCTTGTAGTCCTCCAGCAGCTGTACAGCCTCTCTGAGACGTCTCTGCAAGGGAAAGTAAAGGGGCATTAAGGGGCAGAGATCCAGGCTCCAGCAACTCTCCCTTGCAGAAGTGCATTAGTGTCAATCAAGCACTGACAATATTACAGTGTTGCAAGACCTGCCCTCCGGTTCATGGTACACACACACAACAATAACGAAGGATGTAACCTGAGTTTCCTTCTACAGGAAAATGGCTAAATGATGGAGGTCTAGTAATACTGTAAAACGTTATTTGGCAGTTTAAAAAGTGAAGTAGATCTACATGCAATTCTATGATCATAACTCCAAGATACTTTTTTGAGTGAGAAAGTGAATTGTAGAACCTTATGATGCCGTTCGTTGTACCAAACAAGCAAAACCCACACACATAGAAAACAATATTTTCTATGAGGATATTTATGTGTGTAAATGTATCAAAAAGCTCTAGAAGGAGATAACAAAATGGCAACAATTACTTTAAATGTAAACGTATTAAATGCTCTAATTGAAAGCTGGGTGGCTGCATGGATAAGAAAACAAGACTCATACATATGCTGCCCACAAGAAACTCACTTCAGATCAAAAGATACACACAGACTGAAAGTAAAGGGATGGAAAAAGTTATTTCATAAAAATGGAAACAAAACAAAAAGCTGTGGTGGCAATACTTCTACCAGACAAAATAGACTTTAAAATAAAGGCTATAATAAGTGACAAAAAAGGACCCAGTAATCCCATTTCTGGGTAATTATCTGCAGAAACCCAAAACACTACTTTGAGGAGACATGTGCATCCATATGTTTATTACAGCATTGTTTACAATGGCCAAGATGTGGAGGCAGCCTGGGTGTCTGTCGATGGAAGGTTGGATAAAGAAGAGGTGGCACATACGTAGTACAATGGAATATTGCTCGGCCATGGAAGGGAATGGGTTCTCGCTATCTGCAGGAGCATGGATGGACCTGAAGGGTATTGTGCTGAGTGGAGTATGTCAGACAGAGAAAGACAGATGCAATGTGATTTTGCTTATTTGTGGAATCTAAAGAACAAAATAAACAAACAAAACAAACACACTCATAAATACAGAGAACATTTTGATGATTGCCAGACGGGAGGGGGGTTGGGAATGGATGAAAAAGGGGAAGGGAATAAGAAGTACAAATTTGTTGTTACACAGTAGTCATGGGGATGTAGGGTTTAGCATAAGGAATATAATCAATAATATTGTAATAACTATATACGGTGTCAGAAGGGTACTAGATTTATTGGGGTGATAGATGGGAGGAGGGTTGGAGGACAAGGTGAAAAAGGTGAAAGCATTAAGAAGTATAAACTGGTAGTTACAAAACAGTCATGGGGATGTAAATAAAGTATAGGGAATATAGTCAATAACAGGAATAACTATGTGTAGGGCCAGATGACTACTAGACTAGTCAGGTGCTCACTTCTTAAATTATATAAATGTCTAAGCACTCTGCTGTACACCTGAAATTAATATAAAACAATATTGAATGTTGACTGTAATTGGAAAATTTTTAAAGGGGAAGGGGAATAAGAGGCTCAAATTTCCAGGTATAAAACAAATAAATCATAGGGATGTAATGTACAGCATGGGGAATATAGTCAATGTTGTGATAGCACAGTACAGTGTCAGGTAGTTGCTGAATGGTGATCACTTGTTTAGGTATATAAATCTTGAATAACTATGGTGTACACCTGAAATTAACATAATACTGCATGTCAGCTATATTTTAATAAAAATCTTAAAAAGAACAGTAAAAAAAAATAACATTCAACAACAGGCAAAGGGGCCAGTCGGTAGCTCAGTTGGTTAAGAGCGCGAGCTCTGAGCAACAGGGTCACCAGTTCGATTCCCACATGAGTCAGTGAGCTGCGCCTGAGGTGAGCTGCCGCTGAGCTGCCAACAGGTGGCAGGATGACTCAGCTGGTGAGAGCACATGCTCCTAACAACAAGGTTGCCAGTTTGACTCCCGCATGGGATGGTGGGCTATGCCCACCTGCAACTAAGATTGAGCATGGCACCTTGAGCTGAGCAGCCATGAGCTGCCGACGGGTGGCCAGATGGCGACTTGACTTGGAGCTGAGCTAACTGCACCCTTCACAACTAAGATTGAAGGACAACAACTTGGCTGTTCCCCTTCCCCAAGTCCCCAATAAAATATTTTAAATAAATAAATAAATAAATACAAACAAACAGGCAAAACTCACCTATGTGGTAGAGTTCATTATAGTGTTACCTTTGGGGGAGGCAGGTACTGACTTAAAAAGGGCGTGGAGGAACCCTCCCTGATAACGGAAATGTACAATGTCTTGATTTGAATGGTGGTTACATAGATATAAACAAATGTCAAAATACATTAAGCAATAAACTTAGGATTTGTGCATTTTATTGTACATATGTGATACCTCAAAAAATTAGCAATAAACAGACAACAGTGATAGAAGGCAGCATATGCCAAGGATAGGTGAGGGACCCAGGCATCAGGGATGCCCAGCATAGGCAAAGAAACCCAGTGAAGTCACCTGATCCTCTTTTGACAGACGAGGGACAAAGCTGGCTGAAAACAGGAGTGCTGAGACCAACATAAGCCCCCTGGTCTAAAAGTAGGATGCAGTACCAGGAAGGGCACCCAGTCGGGCAGAAAGGGCATTTGCTGAGCTGACTGAGAGGGTGGTCTCAGGGTAGAAAACAAACAGCCACCTCCTGTCCTATAACCATGGGAATAAACTACCAGCCTGGACAAGCCAGCCAGGCTGTCCGACCCATCTGGCCTGTATGTGAAATACCTGTGGCCAGCACTGGTCTAACCCAGGACATCAGGGGCCAGAAAAACTCGTTTGGGAGCAGCCTGACTGCTGGAAAGCACTGCCCCTGCCCTTTCCGATGTACACATATCCATTCCAAAAGTCAGAGTGCCTTCCCAGAATCTGTTGGTTTCCAAACAGGAGATAGCTTTGTGTTTTCAGGGTTTTTCCCCCCACCCCCAACCTCCAATTAATCCATGCTGTTTAGAGGAAATGTTAGAAAAAATAGAGAAGCACAAAAAATCATTTTAAATCACCTGTAAACATGCCATGGAGATAACCACTGCAAACGTGAGGATGATTTTCCCTCTAGATTTAATACATCTGTTTTTCATGTTGACTGTTGTTTTAACTTGCTTAAGATCACACAGAAAGTGAGCGGTTTGGTACCTGAACCTAGAGTTTATTCAGACGCTTGCTCTGTCCCAACACCCCCAAAGCCTCCTAGTGATGCATGAAGCTCCCCACCCCACGCCTGCTGCCCTGGGGAGGCCGTAGCCGCTGCCACCAGACAATGAGTGCTCTACTTTCCACCGCTGAATGGTGAATGGCCCCGTGTTCTCATTATTTCCCCACTCCAGGGATTCTTCCGAGTTCCTATAACAACCTGGCCAATCTCCATCTCATTTGACACGGTCATCAAAGGGAGGCCTCCTGCCACGAGAAGAAGTTCCCAAGAGCCCTGATCTTGGCGTGGGCTGAGGGAGAACTAAATCCGAAGTTCCTGAAGACAAATCTGAGAATCTAGGACTGAAGGAAGCTAGAATGCGCTTTTCTGCCCCTGGGCCTTACTAACCCTGAGCCAGGCCCTCCTCTATCAGAGGCTGAAGGGCTGGGGCTCTGGACTTGTCTTTGGGGCAGGAAGGTGCCTAGGCCACTTGTCTTGAGAGGTCCCTGAGGGCTGGCTGTACTGGGTGCTGGTCTCCCCACTGCAGAGAAGGGGGCCATTTTCAGAGAAGCTTGGGGGATAAGAGGAGGGTCAACCCTCTTCTCACCACGCGCGATACAGTATGAGGTTTGGCGGTAGAGCCCTGGGCACTTGAGGGGTGGGGAAAGCTAGCGGTTGGTGGGAGGGTGAACTTTGCAAAAAGTCTGTTCAGCCAGGAAGGAACCGGCAGCCAGGCCCTGAATGCAAAGACGGAAGGGGGCCAGCTGGCTGGAGACAGGCCTGGGAGCTCTTCTCCGGAGGCCCCAGGGGCCAGAGTGATGGATGGCCCAAATTGCTGCTTCCCAGGCTCCACCACCAGCCTGCCTGCCTCTGGCTCACCTGCCAGAAAGTGTCACTCTGAGGCTGTCTCCTTGTATTTCATGGGGGCATGGCCTTTGGAGGTCCCTGGCACCTGAAAGGTCCGCTCCAATGTCAGAGAATTGAATAGAGGAGAATCCTGGCTCCAAGTCCCTGAGGGGAAGGAGAAGGAAGCAAGCGGGCAGGCATTGCATTATGGTGGTGGCCAGGGAGGGCAGGACACCACACCAGACCAGGATGGGGACAGAGGGACACAAGAAGGGAAGTCATCAAAAGCAAAATTAATCTTTTTAGAGGGGGACCTTAGTGCACCCCCAAACAAAATACAGGCTGAGTGTAACCCCTGCTTGGTTAAAGGAGGATGTCAAACTGATTTAAACATTGAATTTATTATAATAAATTTAATCTATTATAATTAATAGATTTAATTTAATCTATTAAATATATGATGGGAGTGATGTACCTGGCCAGGATGGGAGTAGTGCCCAAAATTGTTTCACTCCCCTTTTGGTAAAGGGACCCACCCACCCACTCTCCAAGAGGCACCTGCGTGTTCCCACCTCCTGACCTTGCCCATAACTGCTCACTTCACCGAGACACCCTTCTTCCCCAAGTCCATTACCATCCCCATTCATCCTTAAAGGCTCAGTGCCATCTTCTCCAGGTATTTTCCAGAAATGTTTTCTCCTGTGAGCAGTCAGAGAGCACTGGGTCTGCACCTCTCTGAGGTCCCTGACCCCTTAGTGCTCGTGTGCCCGTGTTATCTGTCAGAGATCACAAGAGCGGGGATCAGGGGGATGGCTTTAAGTATTTTGGCAGGATCACAGGCCCATCACCAACACAGGCCCACACATAATACTCATCTAACAACAACAAAAAAATGATTGCGGCTTCTGGCGGGGAGGCAAAGGGTATAGTCAGGGTGAGGAATTCAGGTTCCTAATCAGCAGAC